TCGCGTGGATGGCGCATTATTGGTCGATTAACCGTTCACGTCGGGTCGCTTTAATCGCAGTTATTGGGATTGGAAAATGTTGGCCATCAACCGAACTGAACCAACCCCTCCATACTGCATCATCATCCTGCAATTCCTCCTCCTGCTGTTGCTTCCACGTAGCTCGTTGCATGCAGAGGTGCACACAGGACGATGAATTATTATTATTTAGCCATTATCCTCTGACCAAAGGCCATCGCTTCCGTGTAACAACAACATCATCATTTGCGCACGGAATACGGCGGCTATGACGAGATCCGTGCAGCAGGCCAGGCCCATCCTTGCGTCGGAGCCAAGACCGTGGCTGCAAACAATAAACAATTTTCTAATTGCGAATATTTCTTTCTGATACAAGAGGAAACGCACCGAACAACATCGACAACAAACAAACACAATAGAATCGTTTTCCTGCGAGCAATCGTCGTGTTTCATTATACAATAGTGGGGAAGGACTGTATCACTTTATGGTTGTGAAAGGAATGCGTTTCATCAACTAGATCCTATACAGCAACGTTCGTAATTGCCTACAACAATTTCATACACAAATTAATAACCATTCGTTATGTATTTGCAAAGCACAAAATATATTTGAGTCAATTTTGAAACAAATGTTCTTCCATAACAGTCTGCATTTTTTTTTTGTATCACACCCTATAATATGTATGTAAGCTAACATAATAAATTCTAATTCAAATGTTCTTTACTGAAGTTGTAAATTACAATCCATTAAAAAGATTTCATAATGTCCTTTAAAATCTACCATACGTTTATGCACTTGTACGTTATTAATTAGATTATAGTGAATGTACACTCCTTTCAGAAGATTCAATAGTAACATACATTATAGAAGTTTTTGTACATTATTTGTGCTTTTTATTATTGATAACTGAAATTGATTTCATTATAGTAAATTTGAAACAAGACAAGAAAAGATTATGCTCATCCAGTACAAATAATTTGATTCTTGACAAGTTACTTGTATTAACACACTGTTAATGTATTTATAATTATTATCGGGATTGCAAGTACTTGTGGAACTAACTAGTCATGGATAGTCTAGTGCAGTTGTAGTGAATGCACAATCTAAAAGCAGCTGACGGGTCGTTTTTTTTATATAAAATATATATAGGTACTCCTCATTTTATAACCTATCTGCTTAACGAACACTCGCACCTATGACCAATTGAGTTTTGACCTGTAATAAGAAAAAAATTGAAGTCTGTTGTACAATTTTTTATAATTTTACAACAATCCTATATTTCAAGCAGTGAAGCGAAGTGTAAAGTGATATTTATTGTAGTGTAAAGTCTATATTTCTATTTTTCTCATGTAAAATTGTTTTGGCCCCAACTGATCTAGTGTACTAATCAATTTATTTGTATCAATCATAAACAGGTAATGCAAATACTTTCAAAATACATTATATTAGGCAAGTAAATAAGCTATTATGTATGTATAGAATATGCTTGCAACTCCTATAGTCATATTGACTAATGCACTTGTGTTCATTCAAGTACAAATTAATTAAAAAATATTCTAGGTAGAAATGTATGAAGATTATTCTAATGACGTTGTCGGAAGTGCAGGTAGTTGTTAAACAGATCTGGACACTAGACTCTAGTGGACTCGTCAATTTATATTGTGTATTTGTATTAAACACAAACAGGAAACGCAAGTATTTGCGAAATAAATTTCTGTTAGCGAAGAGACTATACACATCTCACACATTGAATTTGATACTTGATAAGTTAGTTTACTTAATTTAGTTTGTTTAGTGAGCAAATTAGAAGTTGTAGTTGTAGTTAGGTACGACGAGGGAAGTCGATGGTGTTTGCATTTACGAACAGACCGTCATAAAATAACTGTTACTAATTTATTTTATCACAGTTTTTCTTCTGTTAAACTTATCGTTTTTATTTTCCATTAAATAATTAATAAATATTATACAATTTCATGTGAATGATGTAAACTTTAAGAAATCATTTTTGGTTATAACAAGTAAATTAATTTTTAATACGATTGAGGTATATTTGTACATGGAAGTAAATATATTACTAAAGACGTTAATAACACTAAGTGAAACATGATTACAAAAGTACGTATTCCAAATTAAATTAAGTAATATAAATATTTTTAGAATTAAAGTAAAGACGACATTTTTAAGGTCACGTCCTATTTTACACTGTGTACTAAATTTCGTTAAATTGTTTTCTTTCCCAAGAAAAGTACTTATTAACATTTACCCTTAAGTATAAAACTGGTCGTATTTCGGTAATTCTAAGTAGATGTATTTAAATTTATATTTTTCTACTAATATTTTTAGTATCTACTAAATACTAATTATCCATTATTATATAAAAGTTGATGAAAATTTCAATTTATTTTATTTGTTTATAAACTGCAGTAGCTGTGTTTTTAAATAGTTAAAGTAATGTTAATTATGCCTTTTGTACGCAAATGCTTGTGGAATTATCATAACCAGTTAGTAATTAAAAGAAATACAAGAAACGAGTTTACGAAACGAGAAATTCCAGCGAGGAGTAAAATTTCGCTTTGGAAATTAAATGAACTTCAATGGAGAAGACTTTCACACAGAAAAAGAAGTAAATTGGTCGATCCCGTTGGCCTAATTAAGCTCGAAATTCACAGATACCCAATGTAGCTGTTCTTCACACCGAAGAAGTCACGTCAACCATCCGACGATCCGTTAATCTATTTACAAAATATAACGTAAAAATTAGCATCGAAACAGTAATTAGTAAAAGTACGGCTCACCTAGTCGTGACGTATGGCCGGATTTTTAATTCTCTCTCTCTCTATCAACTTCATTTATTTGCTTACATTTCGTACGGTCTTCCTTAACTCGGTTGCTTTCTCCTCCGGTGTAAGTGATTTAAAACGTAATTTGTCCGTCCTGGTCACCGGAGGCGGCGGGAAGAGGAAACTCGGAGACGAAGAAAAAAAAGGACGTAGGGAGAAATAAGGAATAAAAGAAAATCGGAGGGAGAAAACCGCGTGACTTTGATTGTTATTTTCCGAGGCACGATTTGTAATTAGGAATTGCACTCAGGGCAGGGCTTCTTCCGCCGTCTGTGGGTGGGTGGCGGAGAGGTTGGGGAGACTGCGGTGGCGGTTATGGAGAAGGACTAGTGGGGTAGACGAGTAAAGGACGTGGAGAGATAGACATGCACACACTGAATGAGACTGTAAGGGAATAAGAAAGAGAGAGGAAATAAATTTAATTTGCAAATGCAATTATATTTATTGAATCGCACTCGGCCGTTTGGGACCGCAGAGGCAATCAGAAAGGAAACTCAACTTATTATTATTATTATTATTTGGACGCGATTCGCTGCGCCGCAAACATATTACGTAATCGACCGCGAAGTATCGAAATCAAATCTGGACCGTCTAGACTTGAATAAGGTCAAACGTCAATTTAACATTGCTCAGCTTAAGTCACCGTAATTACTTCTTCTTTTTATGTAATTAACATTTTTCATGAAACAATAAACCGATGACTCGGACGCGATACTTGTCAAGTCATTTATACAAGTACTTGCAACATAAGTTATGATATTTAAAGTACATTAAAATAACCTTTGTATTACTTCGGAAATCGTTTAACCTCAATAATTCACGGGATTCTTGAACGATCGTTGGGAAGTGTTTTAATCCTGCATCCTTCGGTACTTTTATTTTCGCGTCGTTTGCCTGCACTTTGTCAAATCTTGTCGGATCTTTATAATCCGCCATTTATTATATCCGCCGGAAGTTAACGACTGTTCATCATCGCCACTGATGAAAAGAAACCTCATTTCGTATTGAGATAAAAACGATGATCGTCTTTATTATATAGAACAGAGGCGTCCAAACTTTTTGCTGCGAGGGCCAGTTTGGTATTTAAATTCATTAGCGGGGGCCAAGAATTGTAAATATGTGAATTAAAAANNNNTTATAAAATTATTTCATGCAATTTTTAATGGGAACGGTGGAACTGGGTTTTTTCTTGGAGAGTTTCTTCAAAGTTGGGATTCAAATCGGAAACACCAATTATTAGGAATGATTGCAAATGATCATCCAATAAAATTGCCCTATATTTTACGAAATTTTTCAAAATACTTGGCGGGCCGGATAAAATCGCCTGCCGGGCCGGGTTTGGCCCGCGGGCCGTAGTTTGGACACCTCTGATATAGAAAGTATGCCGAATGAAAATCAATTTCAAAATATCACACTTCACATTTCTGACATTTATTTATAATGTAACTTGATAATGTACTTATATTTTTTTAATAAGTAAAAGTAGTTGTTAATTACAATAGTTTATATATAAAGTCCACAGCTTTATGATAGACATCAATCATGTTAAACTTCAAGTAGTTACTTAATATTGCAAACAATTATATATTTCCATATAAAACCGAGTAAACCGAGGAAATACAAAATAAAATAAAATAAAAAAGGTGGCTGGTGTAAATTAAGTTGTTTCGGTTTAATGACATTCCACGTAGACTGAAAAAATAAATGTTCATGTTTCACGCATTTTTTTTATGTTTGTTTTTCTCTCTACTTGCTCAGAGGCTATTAAAAAGTAAAAATTCCCATTTAGAATGTTTCGTCCGGCGGAGTTAAGAGATTTATGATTCTGACCCAAATCCTAGGTGTGTCCGAGCCCCGAGTCCCCAGTTGGTGAGTAAATGGAATAAAGGGCTGCTTGTGTCTGTGTAATAAAGGACGGGGATTACCGCAGAGAAAAATGATGCACCGACTCGTTTTTGTGTTTGTTCTTGTATCATCAACCATCTTTGATTCCATTCGATGCGGCGAATTGCCGTTATGAAAAACGTACAATTTCCAGACCGTTGAACAAGCTCGACGATTCTCGACTACGAGCGTCTTGCAAACTTCCTTGGCGAAAGTCGCAATTTACTTTCTAACTTTGTTCGTTTCTGCATTTCCAGGTGTCGACGTTTACTCCAATTCTTTCATTTCGCCGCACTCTGCTCAGGAGGACGCCGTTTATCCGTCTGAGGTTATAAAGCCTTCAAGTTTTTTGGATAAAAGCGAGAGCGTGTCCACTAAGAAGGAGAGGAGTCGCGTGCAAAGGTCGGCGGATCCCATTTTATCCACTTATGGTAAAAGCGATGATTTGAGTTACTACAAGAACGTTGCTGAGGCGTTGGAAGGGAACGGGGTCGAGTTATCGGGAAGGGCTCCGAAGTTGATACAACCATCGAAGACTATCGATTTGAAGAATTCGGGGGAAGCATTCGGGGCTCCGCAGGCCAGACAACTGCCGGAGCCCCACGACATCACGCCGACTGTGACGGCGACGATTTCTGCTTCCCAATCCACCCTTCAAGACCGCCCACGCCAAGCCAACCCTGACATCCAAGACATCATAACCGGAATCGTCAAATTGCTGAACGGCAACGTCAACGTTCAAGCAAACACTGCACCGGCAATGCCTCGACCTCTGCGTCCCATCAGCACCAGGATCAACAATAGAGGACCTCCGAGGATCTCCGATTTACCACCGCTTCCAGCGGACTTCAACGTTGCTGGATCGATGAAACCACCACCGCTCAACACCAAAATGCCTACACCGTATCCATTCGATCTTCCTCCACCAAACACATCCCCAATACGCAATCAAAGGCCAGGCTTCTATCGTCCCGTCACAATCCCACCATGGAACAGGAACAACCCGAACCGAAGACCATTCCCTCCAAGAAAACCCACTCCAATTCCAACCTACAAACCCTTACCCGACGACATAAGTATAACCAGCTTCAAACCTAACGAAGATATCCTCACCTTAGACGCCGATATGCTAACAACATATGAAGAACCGCACAACGAAACGACAACTACCACTACCGAAGAGATTACGACCATAAACAATAACGATAAGGAATTTGAAAAGAACAAGGAGAAAGTACCTTCATCTAAAAAGAAAATATCCACAACAACGGAGATTGCTCCAAGCCCAACACCAGTAGCAATAGATATCACCCCGACCGTCTTAAATACAACAGAAGTGATTCAAGACAACTCCTCCATCATGATCGAATCGACTCCCAGTCTAGAATCTTCAATTACTGAAATCGTTTCAACAATTAAAGAAGATTCTTCATCGACGCTGTCGGTGACTCCAACAGAAGAATTACCGGTGATTCCTTCGACAACAAATTTAGTATCAACGGAGATTCGGGAAACAAATTCCAGCTCACCGACAACTCAATTGAGCTCTTCTTCATCCACTGAGAGCAACACAAGTCAAGGTTTTCCCTATTATCCGTACAGACCTAGACCGGGTATCGTTCTGGATGATACTGAATATAAACCAGGAGGAGTGCTGAAAAGACCGCAAATTGTCACAGCGCGTCCACCTCAGATTGGGGAAATATTTGATATAACAGTTTCTGCTATTCAAGGGCCCGGTGGTGGCGGAGGTTCAGGCCAGGGTAAACCGTACGTGATTCCAGTTGATATTGAAAACGTTCATTTGGGTTCGAGTGATGATGTTATAACGACTCCAGTTGGTGATGAAGGTTTTGTTTCTATTGATGGAAAACGAACCTATTTGAATTTGTTTGGTGAACCTGATGAACAACCTTCAACCACACCACCTGTAATCTCAGCCACTCCAACTACGAATGTAATCAAAGCTACTGGATATGCAATTCCAGAGATCGAAAAAACCAAACCTGATAATGTGAATGGTTTGAAACCAACGAGGAGACCCACATACGGGAAAAGACCTACCCAAATACCAGTCAGGTAATGATGCGTTCTTGTTTTTTTTTAGCTTTAAAAGACACTTATAAGTTGTATTTTGTTTACAGAATCGACACTTGTATAGTCGGAGATGATTCGACCTGCGACGCCTCTCAGCACGAGATATGCAGAACGGAATCTGGAGTGAGCGCGTGCCATTGTAGACCGGGTCACGCAAGACGCAAGCATCGAGATCCTTGCAGAAAAGTGGTATCGGTTTTACTCTCGTTGAGAGTGGATCGCATCTACGAAAGACGCGTGGTCTGGGCCAACGAATTATCCAACAAGGGCAGCGATAGCTACCAGCAACTCGCCTACGAAGCGGAGAGAGCTGTAATAGAATACATCGTTCGAAAATCGATTGCGTGCATACTAAATTTTGGTCAATTTTACAGTTGGAATCTGCGATGTCGATGACTCCGTTCAGCGATGAATTTTTGAGCGCCAAGGTGAATGGTGTTTACAGAGGCGATCGTTCTGCGGGTCAGGGCGGGGTATTCGTTAATTTGACTTTACAATTAGAGGAGAACGGGGACACGGCGCGACCCACTGTCCGAGGCGATATTCAACGCCATCTTCTGGGTGTCATCCAGAGAAGAAGCAACAATATTGGGAACAGCGCATTGTGGGTGGACAGCCCTCCGGGAGCAATTTCCAATTTGCAAGGTCCGTTTCTTTATCATCCTGATCTTCTCGAAAGGATTTTAATCGTAATTCTTGATTGTTTCCAGATGTCGACGAATGCACTTCCAGAGAGTTAAATGATTGCCATCACTCTGCGATGTGCATCAACACGTTCGGTGGTTTTAAATGCGAATGCTTGGATGGGTTCAGGGATCCTTGGTCGGATAATAGGCATAGAGCTGGAAGGCAATGCGAGCAGTGTTCGCCTCAGCATTGCAACAATCGTGGGGAATGCAAATACGAGCACGGGCAAGAAGTTTGCGTGTAAGTGTACTTGATCCGACTTTCTAAAACAATGCTTTAGTTATTCATTTCTAATTGAAGGTGTACGGGTAATTATTATGGAAACCAATGCGAGCTGGATGGAGAGGTACTCGGAGTGGCCATCGGAGCTAGCGTTGCCGCTGTTATCATCATTGGATTAACGCTGGTCTGTTTAGTCATGTGGAGGTATGCTAGTTAATAAACAAAAATTGAGTATGATCAAGTAAGCATATATCATGTTTCCAGTCGTCGATGGAATAGAGAACAAAAAGCGGCAGCCATGGGCAGTCCTGTTTTCGGATACATGGCAACGGCTAGTAATACAGTCAAAGCTCCCGTAGTTGGCGGACCACCCTATCAGCTGACTTTGGAGGATCGCCTAAGATGGGCTCAAATTGCAGACGCCATGGCCCAAACAAATCATTACGCTGTAAATCATCAATCATCAATCAAAATCAATCTCGTTATGAATTCACTAAATACTTTCAGCCGGAACCAGTTGCTACAATGACGCGACCTTCATCAGCTCTCTTCGGTTATCCAACACTTTCGATGGCAGGTACCTTACCGCATGGTGGAATGCACGGAACCCTTCCCCCAATACCTTTGCCCCGTTTAAATATTCCTGCTACTTTAGCGGGAAGGGCGGCTAGTGTGCACGGGATGAGACCGCTGGACAACTCGAGTTCCAGTGAAGAGGAGGACAAGGCCGATCTCTTGGGTCGAAACTTCCAAGTTCCTAGACCGAAGAGTCGAAGTAACGCTTCGGTAACTGTAAGCCAATGGCACGTAATTATCCCTTTTTGAATGTTGATTTCTTTACCTGTTCCAGTATCAGAGCGGCATTTACTATGACGTTGATTACGATCAGAACGAGATCTACAAGCATCCCTCTGGAACGATACCAATGAGCACCTATACACCATCCGGACGACATCCATTCTATAGGAATTGAACAACCCAATTCACAATCACGTGACACATTAGTTGAAATATATTTTTTTTTGTTGTTTTATCACTAAGTTTTTTTTCTTGTGGGTTGGCAATACCAAATACAGAATGTAATTTACGATATTTATAGTATTTTGTTGTTTGTTTGTTTTGTATGTTTTTTTATTTAAGTACGAAATTATAATTGTTGAAAGACTAAATTGAGCCATGTAAAAATGTTTTTGTTTTCGAAAAAAATTATTATTTATATTATTGTTTGCGAGGGAAACGAATGTGTGATAGGATGATTGGTGACGTGAAGAACTAATCGCTTAATTCAAATATATAAATACAATTATATAAATAAATGCGAATCTAGGTTTAGGAGAAAATTCGCGAGAAATGCGCTGAGACAGTTTTAATCAACGAATATATTTATAATGATTACTATTATTATCACCTGTATATTAATGAATTAGTTTCTTTAAGTGGAGAACATATTTTATAATACGAGGAAATCTTTATAAGCAAATGTATATATTTAGATTGAGGACGAAAATATTTTATTATTATTAATATTCTAATTATTATTATTTACGAATATTTATTTATTTGTGAAAACATTGTGTTTATATATTATTTGTAATAATAAAAAAAAAAATCAATCCCCTCGGGTTTCTTTCAAATGTTCGGCGTTGTACCTCTGAATCCTGTAATACTTTGCTAGTACCTGCCGATAGTAGTAGGCTTGATAGTCGCATTTCTTCTCCATCCTGTTCTTAATCATTTCCTCGATTTTCAACAGAGCCGCTCTTTCGCTTTCCTCAAACATACAATGTAGATACTTCTCGTACTCCTGCTGGGGGTCGCTCAAGATGTATCTGGCTATGACTCTTGTAATTGGATTCCTGTAGTATTCCCAATATTTCGGGGTGTAATCTTCGGGAATATCACTTAAGGTCGCCGGGCCCACGAAGACGTTAGTCACAAAGGTTATGATAGTCAATGGAATGACCCCTATCCCAATGTAGAAATACATGAGATCCTTGAATTTTATCCATTGGAATCGTGATGGTTGTAATGGAAATGTTCTATGGTCACAGTAAGTGCGTCGAAGAATTGCGTGAAAAGTAGGATGTGATTTCAGTTTTCGCAACGCACTGAAAATCATTATTAATGGTTATTTTGTCAGTGAAATTAGACTTTGACATATTAAAATCACTAACTTGATTTCAAAATAATTTAAATATTTCTTTCTATATTTTAAATTATAAATATAACTAAAATGAAGTGTCTGCACATTTGATTGTATTACGTATTCGAATAATGAGAGTGTATTCCGTGCTTCCATTACCTGTAAACTTTGAAATTACCGGTAAATTTGGTAATTTGTTTATACATGAAAGTTGACAGTAATGCTGTACATGAAGATGTTTTATCAATTATAATTAAAATTCGACGAGCTGAAAATTACTTTGTAGTTCCCCAAAAAAGGAGTCTTCAGTACGTTAAAATTGATATGATTGAACGAATCTTTCAATTAAAATAATGTGCCAGAAAAAGACATCGATTAACATGACAGTATTTACAAAGTTAACTGCATCTTACCCATAAATTTATGAAAGAAAAGTTGTCTATGCAAAATACTACTCGAAGTAGGGAATTTAAATCAGAATTAAATTTACGTATTTCAGATCAACTCACAAACTTTTCGGATGTTATACAATTTTTGCATAATTTGTGCACAATCTTCTATAATTTAGGAATATACATCTGAATATTAAAAAAGAGTGTTGTTCCAAGTTTGTAAACGTATGAAACTTATTCTACATTAGTTGCTAGTAAAGTTTTTGTAAAACAAGCGACTAAATTCAAATATTAATGTCCTAAAAATGTACCTTTATTACTGTGTTAATCATCATACAGGCTTTAATAAAGATGCTAGATTTCTAACTCTTTCTTTTTGTATGTAATATTTTCAAAAATAAAATATCTTCAAGTCTTCTCGGATTGTCGAGTAAATCCTAGTAAATTACGAATATAAACAGTGGCGTAACAAAAAATGGGCTCGTGTGCATTCAGGCTCTCAAACAAATTTAACTATCAAATTTTAATTAGTTTTTCTCTTACTTTTCAAATGTCGATTAAAAAACTTGTTTTTTTTTGCATATTGCGCCCCTCTTGTCTTGTGTGCCCCAATGACCTTAGTAAAAGCTAAACATAGATTTTCTTTGATATTATGTCATTTTTGTATAACAGTATGTTTTATGTTACTAAAATAAAAAAAAAATAGATTATTATAGTTTTGCTGTATAAGTATATATTTGGATGGGTAAGAAGGTGAATTGAATTTAATTTGCAACGTAATGATTTTACTTTTAAATGATTTCATTCACTTTCCAATACGTTTTACAGTTACTTCAATAGAGTATTTTAAAACGTTTCATCTGCAAAATAATCATACTTATTTCCATTTGTCGAACGCATTAACAATGTGTAACTATTAATTACTGTGCAAACACAATTATTCAAATTGGAAAAGATACGCGAATGAAAGTAATCCTAGTTCCGTTGAAGAATAATGGTTTTAATGTTCGTTTTGGCTACTTTTTATTTCACATATTGTTGAAATTGGTCTACATTTGGAATTGATGTCACCTAAATTTTTCCGTTTTCAGTTCATCTATTTATTTGGCAAGTGTTATAATTTAGCAGGTAAATAGTGAGAATGGTCCAATGTGTATGATAATTACTATATTTGTATAGACCATCCACGACCGGGTTTTGCTCTTGCTCGAAGAGAGGCACGCAGGTTAAGGTAAATATGTGTTCAATACGTTTCTTCGGCTTCTACAAATAGCTCCTAGCTATTCATTATTGAGGTTGAGCAGTTATATAGTCAGTTATTTTTTTTTTGGATTTGAATACTCATTATTGTACATTGAGATTAAACAAAAATCCTGATAAAATATGTGTACGTTTCTTCTCAATTCATATATTTTTACCCATTTTTTCAATGAAATTTTTAATTCTTAAGAAATATTTCTATTCATCTTCATTTTATGTTATTGTTTTATAACTTGCCTTCACTGTTCTTACTTGTCAACCTTACCATAAAGCGATTGATTGGAATCGCGTTATAAGATTAGCACAAACCTGAATAACCATTTTCATTAAAAAATAAAGCGTTTCCAATATCATTTAAGTACTTTCTCAATTTTTTTCTTTAATTTCGTCTTCATTTTCTTTGTCTTCGTTTCTAACGTTTTCTAAATTTTACACTCAAAATCATCATCTTATTAATTTTTTGTGCTAAACACAATTTAAGCATTTTTCCATGATTGCGCACTTCCTAATATCAAAGCTTCATAATCGAAAGAAACGTTAACTGAGGTATGATTATGCACAGAGTTATGTTAAGATAAATACTTATTTATTAAATTTAAGAAAATTAAAACAAAAATTGTTAGTGGATCTTTCTTTAAATTAGCTGATTCTGTATATATTCATCTTCATTTGAACTCTGTTAAAGGACAATTTTCAATTTATTTCGCATATTTTAAAGTTCCAAATCATTATTTACTATTTAAGTTTCTTATATTAATCTATCAATTTTTGCATATAAATGTAATAAAACGAAGTACAGAAAAACCTGGTTTCGATTAGTCCGGTTTTACTAGAATCTGTTTTGAAAATTTCAAAATGTACTAAATTAAAACATTACAAACAGTACATAAAAATTATTTTTTTATACATTAATGATGGATTTTCACCATTTATAGTGAAATCTCCTTTTGTGCGGTTTATTTGTGTATGTATATTAGTCCGGTTTCAAACAGTCCGGAACCGTTAACCCGCACTAGGCGAGGTATTACTGTATATGTTCATTTTACTAATTATACAAGAAAGAACATTGTATAGAAAATGTAATGTTTATGGTTACAATAAAAGGTAGTAACTTACGGTTTCGGTGTAATTAAACGATGGAAGACAATGAATAAATAAACAGTTGTACAAATAAAAGTGATTTAAATGTGTTGCGCGTTGAGGAACTGTTAGAGTGCGGTGTGCAATTAGTAATTTAATAGAGTTTCAGGATGAGAAAGAAAGAGAAGTAATAAATCAATAAAAAAACAAACAAAAATACATCTATTGTAGGAAGTAGATATAAATAAATGAATTGCGGCTAAGCATACATGAGATTTTCGTGAAAAAAAAAAAGATGTTAATTCAAGTTCGGTCCATCATCGTCATTAATGGGGTACCACTCGATTGAAGAGATGATGCTGGAGTGTCGTGTGTTGTTGGAGTGCCGATGTTTGTGAAACTATTAAAAGAAACCGTTAAAGGGACGGACGGCGCGCGATTCATTTGTTTGATTTTTCATCCGGATACTGTTATGTTTGCACAACAATCGTCGGCGATCGCGTATAAAGGGTGGACAATGTGATGATTGGTCTTAGTCTTACCCGAATCCTCGAGCAGCAGCAGTTAACTCGTTTCCTATAAAGATGACCACTTTCGTTGTTGGTACCGTCTTGGTGCTGGCACTTGCCTTAGCAGGAACCAGATCACAAGCACCCTACTTTTACAATTACGATGATGTCACGATCGAGGATCCTCTGGCTTACATCTGGAACAACAGAGGTGAGCATAATGAATTAACAACATAATTGGATAAAACCTTAATAGTTTAAATAAATTGGAGTACAAAATCATATTCACTTTCCAAAAAAATAATTGTCTATCTTTGTTAACATAATAATTTGGAAATTTATTATTATTTATTATTAATATTATTATTGTAATTTTGCTTATGATTTTGTAAATAACTACGCAATAAAATTAATAAAAATTAACTCTTGAGAAATATTTAAAATAAATTACAAATATATAAATTTTAGTATTTGTCTGTGAAATATTCATACTACAACTGTTTTTTTCATAACACTTTTAAATTAAAATAACTTATGATTTTATTAACAATTTAAACGAAGGCTTTCAGAAACAAAATGAATACATTTTTTGAATTATACAAAATTTACTTTTAGATTACTTTTATAAATTAACATATTTCACATGAATAATATAAGTTTTCTAAATAAATATTTTCACTTATTGATGCGTAGTCAAATATAAAAGTTATTTTATTGTTAATAAGAAACAGATTGTTTTGTAAAGTTTTACGTAAATTCAAAATAATGACATTTATAGTTGAAGTTGTTAGACTTAGCTATTCCTATTATTTAAATAACTAGACTTTGTTATAAATAATTAACAATTAAGTTAGTAAACAACTCAGTATAAATGTTAACAACAATTGTCTTTATATTTGTTATTTCAGATAATCTAATTCAAGATAGTTATGCACCTTGTGGCGTGAAATATAATGCTGGCAGAGATCGTGAGGGTACTTGCATGCACAGCAGCGAGTGCAAATTTAACAGGGGCAAAACAAACGGAAGAGGAAGCTGCAGCTTCTGGAATTCCTGCTGTATCTGTGAGTAAATCAGATGATTTCTAAAGATTTCTTATTGAAAATATTCATGTTTCCATTGCAGCTGAAAAAACATGCAACCAAAGGACGAATTCTCGCGTCTCCTACTTCATGAGTCCATCAGACGCTCGCAAAAATTTCGGAAACTGCGAGATGCAAGTGGATTTGATCAACGAAAATATTTGCCAAATCAGGTAGTAAACATATAGATTCAATTAGTTCTCGTAATTAAATGCGTTCTGTAGGATCGATATTATAGACATGAAAATACAAGATCCTGTACTCAATGGGGATAAATTGGAATGCGAAGAGTCGTTCACTGTTAGTCCAGAATCGGGCACGCCAAAACTTTGTGGTGGCAATAAAGATACACACTGTAAGTTTAAGAATGTTATATGCGGATTTATATATAATTAAAACTTTTTCTTATTCAGTTTACGTACATTTGGATAAGCCGAACAACTTAAATAATGCTGTCAAATTGAACATGAAGTTGAAGCAAATAACAGGAGGAATCATAGAACCGAATTCTCCACGATGGAACATCAAAGTTACTCAACTTGAATGCCCTTCTAGAGACAAGAAATTTGCTCTTCAACACAAAAAAGACACTAATAATCGACCGGCAGAGGATTTCCATAAATTGGGTAAATCTTTGACTAATTTAAATTACCCAATAAACATTTTTTTTTGTCGATTTTCAGCGCCCGAAGGATGCCTTCAGTATTTCACGGAACCAAGTGGCACCATACAAAGTTTCGGTTACGAATCAAGCAAAATGTCAATGATTACTGCACAAGACTATGCAATCTGTTTCAAACGCAGCACATCCGAATGCGGCATCAAGTAAGAATATTGAAATTTCAATTAATTTTTTTTATCTTTAATTATTTCCTTTTGTTTAGATTTACTTCCAATTTCCTTGATATAGATGCGGCGGGTTGTGCTAATAATTTTATTCATACACCGGAAACGACACTACCAGATGATGCTAAAGTTTGTTTTGACGATGCACCGAAGAAGACATGGTTATGTAAGTATAAGTATAAAAGCATGTTACGGAACAAATTATAAATATATTTGTTTATTATTTCAGCTGTTCATCCAGGTCCACTCTATGTTCATGTCCATACAGAAATAAGCGAAGAAAAATTGCAAGGATTCAACATTAATTACGTTATGAAGGGTTGTTAATTATGATTAGTTTTCTATGATCATTTAAAAAAAAAGAAGTAATTTATTTATTTATTTAATTTATTAAGAAAGAAAAATCAAATTTGTTTCAATTAAATATTAATTTATGTCATTAAATAAACGAATCTAATCTAATCGTATCCTGGAATTTATTTTAACCTCGTTTTGTAGCCAATTTATCAAAATTTCAATGTAAAATCGAAGAAAACAAATTTAATTCAAATGATTACAGTTAGAAATATTCACATATGTCCTTAGTAAGGATTACATAAAGAAATTTAAATACGTTTCTTAGTTTATAGTTTGTTATTTGGACACGTCTGTAGATGTTATATAGAAAATATATTAAGATTTCACAATGTTATTTTTATTATTAGCGACATCTATATGGTAACAAAAGGTAAAGGTTACCTAGTAGTGGAAAACTTGTTGCATGTTTACCAACTTAGAGTAATTATAGTGCTGTTGACATATATAGCAACTTTGAAGATAAACTTAACTTTATTTGGAATTTATTGCACATTTGTATTTACCATAAAAATCAATTCTATAAATAGCCTGCAATAATATACTAGTTTTTCGTTTGGATTATTTTAGTTTTTCTTTCTTTCTTCATACTTTCCATACCTGAAAGATTGTAATCATAAAATCGCTAGAGGGGTAAAGTAAGGGCGGAATGTAATATCGTAGAACGTTTCGGCATCTCGGCGAAAGGGTTTAGACCTTCGGTCACATTTGTTTTTACTTCATATATGCTTGCACAAGACTCCAATAGCAACGGAATATGTTTACCCCGGGGATCGATACGTTTACATGTGTCCTATACCTTTGGAATAAAAGTAGTGACTGAAAAGGAGAAAAAAAAAGTTAAGAAGAAAAAAGGAAGTCGAACGGAAGAAGACGCCGTGGAAGAAGTAGCAGCATTCGAGAAGAACAGGAAAGGAAACGAAACGAAAAAAAAAGAAAGAGCGGATCCATAGACGCGGAGAACTTAAGGGCACTCACTTATATTACACGGGAAAATATTATCTGTTTCCTTTAAAAGCAAATTCGTGCAATTTAAAATGAATGCAATATCCTGAGACATTGTCACAAACTTGGGCGACGATAAATGCATCGAACGTAGGGCTTGAGTAATCGGGTTTGTAATTTGTATTGGTACACTTATTTATATTATTAAAGAATTATACTAGTATCAGGATAATTGAGTACAAATTGAATATACGTCTAATACTTTATATATAAAGTAATATGAAAAATTACAAAAAAAAAAATACGGATTAATCGAAATTTCTTCCTGTAATAACTTCATTATAAGCAATAATAATGTTGTTAGTAAAGAAGTTCAATGATACCGATGACAATAGAATTAAAGTGACAGCTGCACTACAAAAAATGAACATGACATTCTTATTTTAATGTCTTTATAATTGATTGATCTAGAATTGGGATTACAATAGATTTTAGAGTAAAGATTGGTTCGTATCCAACTCAATTTACAATTATATAAGATATTGCACAAAGATTATGATTGTAAGAAGTACTGTAATGAATTTTGAAGAATAAAGATGAATTTCATTTCGAATCAATTCATTATCTTTAGTTAGTTAGTTAGTTCAAACTTGAAAAATTGAAATTAGATCGCTCGAAAAAGCAGTGTTTTCACATTTCATTGATTTACTCGA